ACCAGCTTTCTCGCCGCTCTCTTGCTGCAAGTGTGGTAACGTCCTTTGTCTTTGCTTTTGTATACTTAATGACATTATCCTATTGTGAACATTGGAACCCTGATCTTCTGGAGTCATGACTCAACACTCAAGTCACTACACCACTGTGCACCCCAATAATTCCACACACCCACACACTCCTACCAGCTCCTATTCACCTAGGTCCCATCCCTATATCAAGAATGGAAAATGTGTCACCATCTTATGTGCTGCTGGACTTCAAATACCATCATCCCCCACCATTCTGTATGCTGGCTGAAATTGTTATGCTCTCCTGGGATGCTGACTAGGGAGTTCTGGGAGTTCTGGTTCAAAGAAGTAACTTTTCCAAGTTCTAGCCTAAATTTTTTCTAACAGCTTACACACCACTAAAAAACTGGAAGCACCATAATTTTTAAGATTATTATTTGCTGTCATTAATGTTTGCCACACATTAATAAGCAAGTTATTATTACTAAGACCAGACATAGTCCTTAAACTATCCAAGCTTATTTCTGACAAAAGCTACATTAATATTTCTGCCTTGCTCATAGTAAACAAAGCAATATAGACTAGAATGCATTTGCTCATTTCCTGATTCTGAAAGCAGGAAAGAAGTTCTTATAATTTGGTTTGAAAATCTGTCTTAGCAAATAACATTTTACCTTAATTACTTGTGCCCTTTAAATATTTAAAATAAATATGCCAGTCCAATAAAAATGAAGGCAGACTTACCAGATGCTTGGCTGCATCAAGCTGTGCCACTTGCTCTACATTAGCTTAGTCTGACTGCCATCTTTTGATCCTTGAAATTTGTTTCAGAAGGTGGTGTGGAAGTGAAATTTACCTTTCTGAGGTGACCTTCTGGAAATAAATATGGTCAAATTAGATGGAGGACTCATGACAAGGTTCAGGTTTACATGCAGGTTTTTCTCGCTTTTTACAAAAAGTTGTCCTCTTAGCATCCTTTTGGTATTGACCTGGACTGGAATTCAAACTACTGAGTCCTCCCCACTCCTTGTTAAATCACACAAATAATGCATTAAAAACTTTGATGGATGCAGGAAATGCAAGCTGTAGTCCAGAACATCTGGAGAGCACCAGACAGGGTAAGTATGAATTAAATTATGGGTGATAACCTGCATGGGATGTGTAGAGTTTACACTGCTCTAAGAATAGAGCAAACAAATATGCTACCCAGTCACCTTCAGCAGCAGACAAGCCCAATAAGGTAGCAGTGATGGCAGTAGTAATTGGGTAGAGATATGGGTAGGGAGAGAAATGAATGGCCAGTAGGCACCTTCTCTCCATCTCCCCAAGGTTAGTGTGCAAGAGAGATAGAGGAACTATTACACTTTGGTCCTGTGCTTCACTCACATGTGAACTGCAGGGGATTGAGGGTGGACCACAGTGCCTAGGCTCCTCACCTCTCTTCTTGTGAACCCACAGGGTTTGGCAGCTGTGAGGGGAGAGATTTGGGACAGGAATCAAGAAGCTAGAAAATAACCCCTTGCACCCTGTCACTTGCACTTGTCAGCACTGAGCAAAAGAAGGCAAAAGGTGTCCCTCCTTACGAGACCATTTCACCAAGAAAAACCTTTAGGTGAGACAGCTCAAAAACCAACAACTAGAGAGGGGGAGGCCAGACAGAAAGCATGTCCAATAAAACAAGCATAGTTAGAAGCAACACTACACATGTAATTGGAACATGGAACGTGAGAAGCATGAGCCAGGGAAAACTAGACATAGTAAAGAAGGAAATGGAATGCATGAATATAGCAATATTAGGAGTGAGTGAGTTAAAATGGACAAGAATGGGTCACTTTGACTCAGACAACTATACAGTAATCTATTCAAGAAATGAAAAAACAAGAAATGGGGTGGCTTTCATACTTAGGAAAGATATAGCTAGAGCACTCAAAGGATACAACTCAAAGTCGGACCATATATTATCAATAAGGCTTCAGAGTAAACCTATAAACATCACAATAATCCAGGTATATGCACCAATCACAGATGCAGATGAAGAGGAAATTGAGAGATTATATGATGCAGTCCAGGTAGAAATTGACAACATACCATCACAAGATTTCAAACTAAAGTAGGGAAGAAACTGCCACAACCCTCCCAATTCCTGCAATATCATGAAAAAGATTCAAAGGATGACAAGGTACAAACTACATTCTGGGGTAGCTGTGTTGGCTATTAAGCAACTTCAAACAAAAATTCATCAGTGATACCTTTATGGGCCAACCAAAATGCACAATATATTTGTTGCAGGCTTTCAAAGCTTTCAAATTTGGGTTGGCCAATAAAGGTATCACTGATGGATTTTTGTTTGAATGGAGCTTTGAAAGCTTGCAACAAGTATATTGTGCATTTTGGTTGACCAATAAAGGTAACACTGATGGATTTTTGTTTGGAGGTACAAACTAGTCCATGGAAAAGGGGATCCTTAATGTAGCTCTTATACCTACTGTCCAAAAAGATGTGGCCCTCAAATCATTCTTTTTCCCAGAGGATAAACCTCCAACCAAGTATACATTTAAGATTCTGTGAGCAAATCTATAAGTGTGAATATGGCAAATAAGACAGTTTATGTACTGTATGAGTATACTTATCAAAATGCTGAAATTAGCTGGAATTCAGTGTACACTCCCACACTAAGAAAGACTTACTTTTTCTAAAATGAAAGAATAATGAAATCTGAAGTTTTTCTTCTTCATATTATAAATATAGCTATTTCTATCTATTTTAATCATATTTTAGCAATGTAGTAAATGTTGTGATGTTCCACCAACTCCAACATTTGAACCCTGGTCTCCTGGAATCTAAGTCCAGCACACAGACCACTATGCCACACTGGATCATGATAATATACCGGTACATGAAGTTAAGAACTTATTTTTCATGCAAATTCAGTTCTGAGCAAAATGTTTTACTAAGAGCCTTTACAGACTGCCAGAAATAGTGCAAACTGAGTCCACATTAAGGGTTAGGGTTAGTGCTAGGGAATCATGGGAATTGTGTTTTTTTCTGAGACATTGAGCCTTCTCTGTCAGAGAGCTCTGGTGTCACAATAAACTACAGTTCCCATGATTCCCTAACCCTAACCCTTAAGGTGGACTCAATTTGCACTATTTCTAGCAGTCTGCAAAGGCCTTAAATCTTTCTAAAATATGTTAGGGCCACTGTTAGCTGTGCAGTATTGTTTGAGGAGTTAGCTCCAAGTTGTGAACTTCAGTTGCCCATCAATAATGCACAGAATGAATATACAAAAGCAAGACACAAATCGGGGTGCTGCATGATGGGGTGAGCTCCTGTAACTAGTCTCAGCTTCTGCCATCCTAGCAGTTCAAAAGCATGCAAATGCAAGTAGATAAATAAGTATCACTTTGGTGGGAAGGTAAACAACATGCTATGCAATCATGCTGGCCACATGCTCATAGGACCTTATCCCACGCTGCTCTCAAAAGTGGCAAGAAACCGATATGAGCATCATTGCAGTACTATAGCGCTAGCATAATATGGCGCTAGCGCTATAATAGCGCTATGGATAAGGTAGCGATATTGCAATGCCCGATGAAAACAGGCATACAAAAGAACCCGAATGATGCTGCATTCCGAGCGGTTTCTTGTTGTATTCTGAGCGACGTCGTGGGATCACCCGGAAAACTATAGCGCTATAGCACCTGATTCTCAGCGGATTCTGAGCGACGTCGTGGGATCACCCGGAAAACTATAGCGCTATAGCGCCTGATTCTTAGCGGATTCCGAGCGACGTCGTGGGATCACCCGGAAAACTATAGCGCTATAACGCCTGATTCCATGTGGATTCTTGCTGCTTTTGGCCCCGTGGGATAAGGTCCAGCGAGTAGTCTCTGATAATGCTGGCTCTTCGATTTAGTAATGGAGATGATCACCACCCCCTATGGTCAGACATGACTTGACAACCTTGTCAATAGGGAATACCTTTACCTTTTTGTCTACTTCTTACAACAGATTCTGTAGATTCTCTTATGGAATGTATGAAAAGAAGACTTGGAAAACAATATTCCCCTTATCTGAGTTTATTCCAGACATCAGAAAACTAAGTGGCAGTGGGGATCTTTTTATTGTTTATATCAACAAAACTGTGTGATGGTAATGACTTCATGACCAAGTTACTGCAATACCCCTGAGAGATTCTTTCCATCTAAGTTCATCAACTCCTATTATCTACTAAAATCACTAAAGGGACCAAAGTTCAAGAGAATCAATGAGCAGCATGTGCACCAAAGCATGCAATAAACCACTCCCAAGTGCTACCGTTTATTGGACTGTAGAAGGTCACCCTAAGAACTGCTCAAGGCCTAAGCACTTAAGCGAATGCAATCCTTTGATGGCACACCTTTCAACTTTTAAGTTGTGTCAGCCTGTACCACTTGCATGTCTTAAAGTTATTTTTAAAAATCTCAAACTTAATAGTTTATTCAGTCTCACTTCTGAATAATACATGAAATAAGATTTTTCTTCTCCTAAATATCCTGGCCTTTTGGTAGATGTTGAATATTACAGCATTACTTTGCTAAGTTGTGGAAGTGGAGGGAGAGAAGCGGACTTTATTCTGCACCTTCAGGGGTCAAAACATGGGCTTACATTTTCCCTAGTGTTCTTCTAAAATACAGATTTAGATTTCATCTTTACAAAGTCCTCATGAGAAAAGTGCTGGGGGCTTTTAACCCAAAATGTCCTTGCATCCAGGGAAACCATTCTCCATTCTCAGGTGCAGATACTCTCCCATGTTATTCTGAAAGGTCCTAAAACTCTTGGCATGCATTAGTAAGGGCTGTATGATAGGCTACACTTTTAGGGAAACCAATGAGAACCACCATCTTTCATGTATGAAATGAAATTCTGTCCTTCACACTAGTAGATAGAGTAAAGCCCATTGGTGGTGGTAGTAATGTGCCTTCAAGTCAACTCTGACTTATGGTGACTGTCATAGGGGCTTTACAGACAGCCCCTAAGGAGCGGTGTCCTGCCACTCCTTTGCTTGCTGGATTGGGGCCACAGCAACCACATCCGAGACCCCAATCTGTCACTTTGGCACTCTAAAAAGAGCTGGCAAATGCCGCTCCTTTTTGGATTGGCAAAAAGCCGCCCTTGCCACCACAGTAGCTGCTTTTCCAAACTCCTTTGGCACAACGTGTCTGAATGCTGCACCAAGGGAGCACCCTGATGCCACCCGCTGTGCAGTGGGACACACGGCATGACGGTGGCATCAAGGCAGAGTCTGGGTGGCTGGCATGCAGTTGTCATGCCCTGACTCCACCCCCAGGCCTTTTGGCCAGTCTGTATTCCCCCATAGAATTTTCTTTACAAGATTATTCAGAAGAGGTTTGCTGTTGCCTTCCTCTAAGGCTGAGAAAGTGTGACTTGCCCAAGGTCATCTAGTGGATTTCCATGGTTGAGTGGAGATTTGAATCCCAGAGTGCGACAGGATCCACCACCTTGCATTGTGCGCTGGGAGAAAAATAGGATATAAATTAAATAAATAAACACTCAAAGCTCTACACCACAATGCAAATGTATCATTTCCTTTTCACATACACAATAAATAATTCTCTTTCCAGATCCCACTCACTCAGGTTCTGTCACTAATTCAGGGATGTCATTAATTCATATGTAGCTGGAGTGCAAATCCTGTCATCCCTCACCATTCTCTGTACTGGCTTGTGCTGATAGTCAATGCAGTGTAATAACATCTGGAGAACTATAAATTGCCCACCCTCATTTTATTTATTTATTCAGTGGATACTCTGCTCTTCTCTTACTATGGGAACCAAGGTGGCTCACTATATATATATATATATATATATATATATATATATATATATATATATAGAATCTGTCACTCAGAGATGCCACTCAGATGTTCAGGAATCTCTCCATGATGAAAGAGCCTAGATGCTAGTTTAGCTTCCCATGCTAATAAAAAAAAATAGCACAACAATTTTGGAAAGTACCATCCTATTTCCAGTAAAAGAAATGGGCACTTCCAGACATGAACAGCCAATGGTCTTTGCATGCCAGTGAGGACCAATCTAGGCAAGGAAAGGTTATCAAGCTTTAACACTGAAGGGGATCAGTGATATGATTAATGGTGACTTTTCTTTGTCCCCAAGAAACATTCAGGAGTAAAATATGCAAGAAAATGGCTGTGGCAGACAGCTGGAATGTTTTGAAATTACATAAGCTGTTCTGGCTATAGTAAAATGAATGATTTAGAAATCTTGACACAAAGAACAAACTGCAACAACCTCAAACTTCAGGAGGTCACTAAAGTCTCATAAGTCTAGCTCAGACTGAAAGGTGTGTGTGTGTGTGTGTGTGTGTGTTAGCTTTCTTGCAAAAGGAGATATAGTTCATGGGGAAAGGACAAGCTTTCAAAGGTCAGGGATGATAGTAGCTGCAGTCAACATCTTTTGGCAGGCAGCAGGTCCCCACTGCTGCATAGCAGGAGAAAAAACTGTGCCTGAAACTTTAAAGATCTTCTGGCTACTAGCGATGAAACACCATTTTGCACTAGAAGGACCAATGGTTTGACAGATGCGACATGGCAGTTTTCATCTGTTCACAGGCTTTCCAGCAGTAAATTCAGTGAAGCTTCAGTTGAACGAGCTTGATGACATAAATAAGTCCAAACCTCTCAAATCCATAAGCCTAAATATATATTTTAAAACCCACACTTAGGTAGAAACCTTACATTCAATTGCCTGAGAGTAAGCCCCATCAAATTCAATGAGACATTAGTTTGGAGCAAGCTTGTACAGAATTGCACTGTTAAATACTTGACAGTGAAATCCTAACCATATTTACTGAGAAGTAATTCTTTTTGAAAGTATAGGCATGGACATATTTCAATTGTGCAGAGTCTAGTTTGCACATGACTTAAACCCCAAGGTCAACTAATGGAAGTCAGTCGCAAAATAGTAACTCAGGGCTGGGGATAACACAAGGTGTGATAAGCTCTCTTAGGAAATCAACCACTTCATATCCCATGGACCACACACTTAGATGACCTGCATACACAAGTGCAGTACTACATCTGAGTTATTATGGATCAAGAACTCAGGGGGGATGCAGACTGGTGGCCCTGAGCTGCCCTGGGAAGCAGAGGATTGAGGCCGCTGCTAGCACATGCACCAGCCCCAATCCTCCCTTTTGCCAGCCCGGAAAAGAGTGGCAAAATGCTGCTCCTTTCACAGCCAGCTGAAAGGGCGCCCGAAGCACCACTGTGTGGCGCTTCTGCACCCCTTTCAGCACAGCACATAAAGATGCTGCGCCGGACGGATGTTCTGGTGGCGCGCACCATGCATAACGGTGTGTGCCATCAGAACGTCTTTGGGAAGGGATTTAGATGGCCGGCATGCATGCGGCTGCCCCTCCCCTTCCCTGCCTCCAAGATGGCTCAAAGGGCTGTCTGTAGAGGCCTTCAAACAACCTGAATTAGAAAGAAGGAACTAATCTTTTACATCCCAAAAGCTTTTGATAATCTGTTGCAAAATTATTCAAAGATCTACTACAAGGAGTGGGTAACTTGCATCACTCTAAATATTGTTGAACTGCAACTCCCACCAACCTTAGCCAGCATACCCAATTATGAGGAATGATAGAATTGCTGTCCAACACAATAGAGGGACACAAATGATCCAATCCTAATCTCTCAGAACAACCTAGCATACCTTCTCTCACCCCAATTCTTAAAAGTTTGTTTAGATTACAGCTCTAGTTTAGGAATGTTGCTGAGTGAAGAAATAAAAAGCTTTTTTTAGGTTTTTCAAGTTTGCAGCTTTTAACTTTTTTTCTAAAAGAAAAATTACTC